TACCTTTATAGGTTACCATCTTCGTGTCTTTGGCTGCCCCAAGAATTTTGTCTTTCTCATTGATTTTTGATAGTTTTAATACAATGTGTCTTGGTGAAGTCCTTTTTCTGTTGAGATAATTGAGTGGTCTGTTGAATTCTTGAATTCCAAGCTCCAGCTCTTTCCTTAGATTTGAGAAATTCTCGTCCACTATTTGTCTGAAAATGCTTTCTAATCCCTGCTCCGTTTCATCCCCATTGAGAATGCTCATTATTCTTGTTTCCTCTTCTGATTTTATCAGCTAGTTCTTGTATTTCTCTTTCATTATTTTTCATTCTTCAGTTTCTCTCTTTTTCCTTCTGATTTATTTCTAGGTTTCTGTCTTCGATATCACTGCTCCTTTCCTCCATTTGGTCGACTCTATTTCTCAAGCTCGCTATTTCTGTTTTCAACTCTTGCAGTGTGTTCTTTATCTCTAGAATTTCATTTTGGTTCTTTTTGAGGGTTTCGATCTTCTTGCTAAGGAGCTAATTCTGCTCATTTTGTTGTTTTTTTTTTTTTTCAGTTCCTGAAATTGTTGATATGAATCGTTTTGTATCTCATTGAGGTTTTTCAGAAGTACCATCCTGAATTCTCTGTCATTTAAGTCTCATATTTCAATATCTTTAAGCTTATTTTCTGGAGATTTTTCCCTTTCTTTCCAAGTTGCCTTGTCACCTTGGTTATTCATGGTGTTTAATGTACTATTTCTCTGCCTGGGCATTAATGGAAGTATATTCTGCTTTTTTTCCCCCCAGAAAGAAGATTTATTATACAAATCTCTCTCTCTCACCTGTTGAAATGAAGGCATTTTTCTTCTGGTTTCCAGTAGGTGTCATCTAAGCCTCTTGGGTCCCTGCTTTATAGAAAGTTTTAATAATGCTTTTTTTTTTTTTCTTATAGACATTCAATCATGCTCGCTACCTTCAGTCTCAGTCCCTGTCAATGTTAGCGATTTTTTCGGTAGCATTTGCTTAGATTCCCCTGGTGCTCTGCGGTATCCACTTCTGGGTGAAGGGACCCTCTGCTTTGGGGAATGGGAGCTGCGGCTCAACCTCGGTATTGTGACTGCAGCTGTTGTTTCTCTGCTGTCCCAGCTTCTTTGCTGTCCGCACTTCTCTGCTTTCTGCCCTGATGACTGGGCACTTGTGCCAGCTGCATGGAGCTCACAGCTCTCTCAGGCAGGGCTGTTCAGGGAACTCACCGCAACTTCTCTCCTCCCCTCTCTTCCTCCAAGGAGCTCTGGTTGCAAGAGGCAGCTTCTTTTTTTCTCCCAGTCCACTGCTCGACACCTGGGGTTCTGACCTGTGGTAGCTCCTATGTGCAGATCCTATGCTCAAACATGCTAGTGTGCAGTTTGGGTGTTTTTTGTTGAGTTTTAGATGTTCAGCTTATTGTTGTTTCAAGGGGAGAGATCTGGGGACGTCTCTCACTCCGCCATGTTTCTGACATCACTCTCTATACCTAATGTACTCTTCATTTCAGATATTGCGTTCTTCATTTCTGACTGATTCCCTTTTATGTTTTCCATCTCCATGTTTATGTTTTCTATCTCTTTGTTAAAGTTCTCACTGAGTTCATCTACTCTTCCCCTAAGTTTATTGAGCGTCTTTATAAACTGTTTTGAGCTTTGCATTTGGTAGATTGCTTGTCTCCATTTTGTCGAGTTCTTTTTCTGGAGCTTTGTTCTGTTCTTTTCATTTAGGACATGCTTCTTTGTCTCCCAATTTTTGCTGCCTCCTTGTGTCTTTTTCTATGTATTAGGTAGGGCTCCTAAATCTCCTGGTCTTAGTAGAGTGGCTTTATGTAGTAGGTGCCCCAGTCTTGGGAAGGGTCTAGCTGCAAGCCAACTTCAGCTGCAGCCTGTGCACTTCTGGAGTCATCTGATAAAAGTCACCAAGCAATCCACAGATGTCTCCCTCCCATGCTGGGCTTGTAAGTGCCCTGAGAGGCCAAGCCAGAAACGGAGTCTAGCTGCCACTAGTGCAGGGCTTGGGACTGCTCAGCTAGAGGTACTGGGCATGATGAGGCCAGATGCTGCTTCTTTGGGTTTTGTGAGCCTTTGAGAGATTTTAAGAAATCTGCAGTATTAACTGAGACAGGCCATTTGTATGGAATAAACCACTGGAAATGGCTTAGGTGGGCCCACAAGTTGGGACAGGCAGCGTCTCGGGGAATCCCCTGGGCAGAACAACATGCATTATCCAGGTTAAAGGAGGTTCAGATATTATGGCCACCTGCGTCCACATGCTGGGAGTGGGGATGGCTCAACAAAGGAACAATGGATATTGCCAGCACTTCTGTCAGAGAGAAAGCTGCCCGCCCCAAGCCCTTGCCCTGAAACCTGACAACACAGCACTTCACCATGTGTCTTTGGCGCTCTTTGAGCAGCTGTCCCAGTGCTGGAGCTCAGAGATATTGAGTCTGTCACTGAATAAGTTTGTGTGCGAGCCCTTTATAAGGAATGTCTGTGACTCCTGAAGGCTTCAGTTACACAGCTAGAACCTCTGCTGGTTTTCACAGCCAGAGGTTACAGAAACTTCTTTACCCAGCACTGGAACTCTGGGCTGGGAAGCCCAGTGTGGCGCTGGTACCCCTTGTTCCTCAGGTGGAAGAGGAAGCTCTGCAAGCAAGATATCCCTCCCAATTCTCAATTGCCACACAAAGTTGTGGGACCAGGCTGATTCGCATCTCTGCCCCTCTTACCAATTTGAGGTGGCTTGTTATTTTTGTCCCTAGTTGTAGGGCTTCTATTCAGCCAGACCTCAGGTGACTTTGCGTGCTGGTTGCTCTGTAGTTTCATTATAATTCTGGTGTGGTCATGAAAAGAGGTGTGCACAGCCTCCACATTCTACGCCACTTTGACTGATCTCTCCACACTATAGATTTTAAATTTGGCACCTTTGGCAACCTCCACAATGGTGCATGCCATTTCCTTAATATAAAATAAGTAAAATTTTCTGGAGCTCTGTTCTGTTCTTTCATTTGGGACATGCTTCTTTGTCTCCCCATTTTGGCTGCCTCCCTGTGTTTCTATGTATTACATAGGGTTGCTATGTTTCCTAGTCTTGACAAAGTGGCTTTATGTAATAGGTGTCCTCGGGCCAGTGGTGCAGTCTTCTGGTCTCCTGAGCCAGGTACTCCAGGTTCGTCCCTTGTGTGTGTTGTGTGTGTCCTTCTGTTATAGTTGAGCTTTCGTTGCTGTTTGCACATCAATGGGAAGAATTGGACCTCAGGAAAATTGGTTGTGTGGACTGGTTGTGACTTCAGTGGAGGAGTTATAGTGCAGGGGCTGATCCTATGGAGCAGGAGTCACTTTAGCAGGGCTCTGGGGACTGTCTAGTCTCCCTTTAGGGTGTGTCATTTTTGGAGGTGGTTGAGTGGTGCTCTGGTATGGCCTGAAGCTGGTCACCAGGTGTGTAGGTTCTGGGGCCTCTGTAGAGGGGCTCTGGTGCAGGCCAAGTTCAGCTGCCTCCTATGCTCTGCCCAAGGCCACTTGGTATGAGCTACAAAGTGATCTGCAAATGGTTGCCACTTGAGCTGGGCTTGGAAGTTCCTGGGAGAAGTTTAGCTGTGAACCAAGGCTAACTGCTGCTAGTGCCAGTCTTGGGGTTGCTTAGCAAAAGGTACAGGGCACACTGAGGCCAGAAACTTCTTGTTTGGGGTTTGTGAACTTTAGAGAGCTTTTAGGAATGCCTGCAGCATGAGCCATGACAGGTTGTTTGCTTGGGTGTATTTGAACATTGGTTGGGTGGGTTCTCAGAGAATCACTGGGGCTGGGCAAACGGTGTTAGCCATGTTGATGGAGACTCAGAGTTGGTGTGTGACTACCTGAATATGCAGACTGGGTGAGGGGAGGGCTCAACAAAGGAATAATTGTTTCTGCCAGCTCTTATGTCTGAGAGACAGCTTCTCCTTCAGCCCTCACCCTGAAGCCAGACAGTTCAGTTTCTTCCCATAAATCCCTGGTGGTTTTTGAGTTGCCTCCCCAACACTGGAGCTCAAACTGAGTGAGTCCATCTGCGAATCAGCCCATGCATGGCTTCTTTAAGAGAAATGCCTGGTTCTGCAGCAGCTTTCCGTCTCACTTAGCCACAATCTCTGCTGGTTTTCACAGCCATAAATTATGAGGACTTCTCAGCACTAGAACCCTGGGCTGGGGCCCCTGTTGTGGAGCTGGAACCTCTTGCTCCTCAGGAAGGACCTCCACAGCTGAGATATCCCTCCCAATTCTTAACCACAACACGTGGCTGTGGGATCAGCCCATTCTGCCTCTCCGCCACTCCTACCAGTCTCAGTGTGGTTTCTTTATATTCTTAGTTATAGGATTTCTATTCATCTAGTCTTCAGTGGTTCTCAAGAGTGGTTGTTTTATAATTTAGTTGTACTTTTGATGTGGTCATGAAAAGAGGTGAGCACAGCATTTAGCTTCTCTGCCATCTTGACCAGAAGTCTTCCCCACATTAGTTTTTAAATTACATTATTTTACCTTTTTTCTATTAGTCATCCTAGATGAGGTATTAGCAAACACTTGTATGTCAACCGACCACTTGTTTTGTAAATAAACAGCAACATTCATTTGTTTAGGTATTGTCTATGGCTGCCTTTGCTCTATAGGTGTGAAGTTTAGTAGTTACCATATAGAGTATATGGCCTTCAAAGCCTAAAATATTTACTATCTGGCCTTTACAAAAACACTTGCTGACTCCTAACATTGAGTATATAACTTGTACCCTTGACTTATTAAAGCACAATTTAAATTTTTACTTTTAATACTTTCCAAGTGATGCAAAGACTATAGAATACTTCAACATGGTTTAGTGTTTTCCTTTCTTTTTAGTTCTTTTTGTCATATGTTTTAATTGTACATGTATTTTATTTTAATACCTAAAAGCCATTTAGATTAACTATACATTTATCTTTTCGATTACTTGTCATTTCTTACATTTTTATGCTTCTATCTGCCTGAAGAACTCTTTTATTTTTTCTTTTGGTATTGGTTTTCTGGAACAAAATTTTCTAAACTTTAATTTTGTGTTTTTGGACGTGTCTTTATTTCATTCTGATCTTTAAGTTTTGTTGGGTAGAAGGTTTTATATCGACAGTTATGCTCCTTCAGCACTTAAAACGTATCATTTTGTTATCATCTAGCTTCCACTATTTCTTTTGGAAAGTCAGATGTCAGTTTTATTATTGTTACTATTATTATTATTATTAATATTTCATTTTCTCTGGTTGCTTTTAAGATTTTCTCTTTGCCTTTGTTTTTTGATACTTTCCCTGTGCTTTGCTCAGGTGTAGTTTTCTTTTTATTGATCCTATTTGAAGCTTATAATTCTTCTTAGTTTTATGTCTTGATTTTTTTGTCAGTTTTGAGAAGTTCTCAACTTTTATCTCTACAAAGTGTTTCTGACACATACTTTCTTTTACTTTTCTGGGAATCCAATAATATATATGCTTATTTTGCATATACCTGTTATGCTCTTTGTATATTTTTATCTCTGTCATTCTTGCTTCAATCTGTATATTTTCTATGGATTTGTCTTGCAGGTCACTAATTCCCTTTTTCAACTCATAATTTGCTATTAATTTCTTCAAATGCGTTCATTTCAATAAACTGTTTTTTTATAACAGTGTCAGATTCACAGAAAAATTGAGTAGATAGCATGGAGAGATTCCATATAGCTCCTCCCTACCAATTTCCCCTATTATTAACATCTTGCATTAATGTGGCACATTTGTTACAATAGATGAACTAATATAATATTGATATATTATTATTAATTAAAATCCATAATTTACACAAAGTTTTACTCTTTGTATTGTACAGTCCATGGGTTTGAAAAAAGTATAATGTCTTATACCCACTTTACAGAATGATACAAATGCATTTCATACCAAGATTTTTTTGGCTTATGATTATCCAATTGTTCCAGTACCATTGATTGAATTTCTCCATTGAATTGCCTTTGCTCTTTTGTCAAAGACCAGTTCGCTACATTTGCATGGGTCTATGTCTGGGCTCTCTATTTGTGCTATTGATCTATTTGAATATTTTGTCACCAATACCATATTGTGTTGATTACTTTTGCTTCATAGTCAATCTTGAAGTCAGAAAGTGTCATGTTCTTACTTTGTTCTTCTTCAGTATTATGTTGGCTATTCTGGATCTTTTGCATTTCCATATATGCTTTAGAATCAGTTTGTTGATAACTGAAAAATAACTCCCTAGGATTTTGACTCATATTATGTTGAATGTGTAGATCCAGTTGGGAAGAACTGACAGCTTAACAATTTGAATCTTCTTATCCATGATCATGGACTATCTCTCCATTTACTTAGATCTTGTTCGATTTTCTTCACCAGAGTTTTGTAGTTTTTCTCATATAGATCCTGCACATATGTTATTTGATTTCTGCCTAAGTATTTCTTATGTTTGTTGTTACTGTAAATGGTGCTATGTTTTTAATTTAGGTTTCCAATTGTTTATTGCTGGCATATAGAAAAGCAGTTGATTTTTGTATATGACTCTTGTATCCTGCAACCTTGCTGTAATCACTTGTTGGTTTCAGAAGTTTCTTGGTCAATTCTTAAGAATTGTTTTACACAGATAATCATATTATCTGCAAAAAGACAGTTGTATTTCTTCCTCCCCAATTTGTATACATTTAATTTCTTTTTCTTGTCTTGTACTTTAAGTACAGTGTTGAATTGTCATGGGAGGGGGCATCCTTGCCTTGTTCCTGATCTTAGATATAGGATTTTTGTAAACGTTCTATATAAAGTTGAGAAAATTTCCCTATATTCCTGGTTTTCTGCAAGTTTTTTTTTTTTATCATGAATAGGTGTTGGATTTTGTCAAATGTTCTTTCTGCATTTATTGATATGATCACATGATTTTGCTTCTTTAGTCTGTTGATGTGATGGATTACGCTAATTGATTTACTAATGTTGAACCAGCCTTATATACCTGAAATAAATTCCACTTAGTCATGATATATAATTATTTTTATACATTGTTAGATTCAATTTAGTAATATTTTGTTGAGGAATTTTGGATCAATGTTTATGAGAGATATTGATTTGTAGTTTTTCTTTCTTGTAACATCTTTATCTAGTTTTCGCATTAGAGTAATGCTAGATTTGTAGAATAAGTTGTGTCCTCTCTGCCTGATGTAATATCTGAAAGATATTATAAAGTATTAGTATTATTTCTTTTTTAAATGTTGGTATAACTTACCAATGAAACCATTGGAGACTGCTCAGTTGTTTCTTTTTTGGAACAGTATTAATTATTGATTCCATTACTTTAATAGATATAGACCTATTTAAATGACCTATTTAAATGATATTTCGCCTTGTGCGAGTTTTGGTAGCTTGTGTCTTTGAAGAAAATCGTCCATTTCATCTAAGTTATCCAATTTTGGAAGTCCCTAAACTCCATTTTTATCTTCCCTGCACTATGAAGCTGCCAAAAGCTTTGTTTATCTTCCCAGCCTCTTTCTACCTGGCTTATTTCCTTTTAGCCCTACAATTATTAAGAATTAGTGAATGACTCAAAGAGAAAATCAACTCAGACTGCTTATTTCGTTTCTTTGTAATTTTCTTTTCTCCAGGATCTTAGCCCAT